GTCTTCTCAGAGCAGCCCCCGCCGCCGCCCCCACCATGGGGAAGAGGCAGCACCAGAAGGATAAGATGTGAGGGGGAGGGGCGCAGGGAACGTTGGGCTGGAGCCGTTTGGAAGGGGGCGGGGTAGAGGGCGGGCAGGTGATGGGGGGCGCCAGCGTAAATACTGGGGTTGGGAGTCTTGTCCCTCATAGCGGCGAAGGGGAGCACGAGTCACAGCCCCCGCCGCCGCCCCCACCATGGGGAAGAGGCAGCACCAGAAGGATAAGATGTGAGGGGGAGGGGCGCAGGGAACGTTGGGCTGGAGCCGTTTGGAAGGGGGCGGGGTAGAGGGCGGGCAGGTGATGGGGGGCGCCAGCGTAAATACTGGGGTTGGGAGTCTTGTCCCTCATAGCGGCGAAGGGGAGCACGAGTCACGAATGGCACCTCTAGGTGCCAAGGACAAGCTTCACGAAGGGGCTTTCGCGGCTGCACATATTTCCGAATTGTTTTATTTGCACCACCTTTGGGAGCTTTGCTAGTGTCGGCCTTCCAGAGCGTGCAGGCTCCGGCAGCTCCGAGAGCGACGGCTGCCAGAGACCGCCTGAGGAAACGCTTCAGGCCTCAGAGCACCAGTGTGGTTGTGGAGGCTCGTTGTCCCACCCGACGGGACAGCCTAGGATGCGTGCGGCGGCATGGCAGTGCTCCCGGGGCAGGCCGTGGTGCCACCGCGCTTGTTGCCGCTACAGGATCACCCCAAAGTGGCACTGAGCATCGGGTGCCAGTTGTGTTGTCTGTTACGCCAGCCCAAACATCGGGGCCTCATGACACCGACTGCCCCAATGGGGCTGTGGAGGGTGAAGAGGTGAAACCTTGGGTAGCTGAAGATATTTTATTTCTCAGAATGGCAGTCCCAGCGAATAGCAACAGTTCCTTAATATCTGCTAAACAGAGTTAGTGCTATCCCGTAATGCAGCCAGAATTGACTGTTCTCCTTTCTTCTCTTTAGGTACATAACATGTGCAGAATACACAAACTTCTATGGAGGAAAGAAAGCAGGTAAGCAACTGAATGCTGCGCTTAATTATTTCAGTGTTTACTTCTGGTGACGGTTTTTATTTTGCAGGCTTGTTCTCACTTAGCCGTTGTTCTATCTGGAGCAGTGACCCCCACTGCCTGTGCGTCCTTCTCCTTCCATCAGCCCTCAGTAACTTCTCTCTGAATCTGCTCTAACAAGTTGAAAATATATTCCCCCTATGTATACACAGTTCAAGATTTGTCTTATCCCTTTGATGCGTCTGCTGCCTTTGACATTGATGGATGCACTCTCCTTTGCCACATCCCATCCTTGTGCTCTACGATCATATCCCCCCCCTCCTCCCCCTCTCCCCCCTGAGGTTTCATTGTTCATTTCCCATCTTATGTTCAATGTTTGTTTCTCTCTGTTGCCCTACTTTGTTAGAGTCTTTCAAGGCTTTG